ATGTTTTTAAATTAAAAAAAATTGGCACTGTTGTAAAATTCTTAAATATAAAGACATAGCTTATACAAATACGAATAATTTTTTAAATTGTTTTTATGTGTTATGGCCTCTTTTGTATGAATAGGGATTACTTTTGTAAATTTTATTGATATAGTCAATTTAGTGGAAGAGATTAATTTGCTTTCCTTCCATTTAGGGCCTGAAGCCAAAGACATTCGGTAATAATTGGGGCATAAATAACTCAACAAGGGCACGCCCAAGAAAAAGAATTAAAAACACTAGAATACCAGGTACCCTTAAACTTTTTAGAGGAATCCTAGTATTATTTCTATTTCTATCGGGTACTCTCCATAAAAAGGAATCTAGTCCTAATCTTTAGGGAAGACAAATTTATAAATAAAAACTAAGATTTGAAGGTCTAAAAGTCTATTTTCAAATTGAGGTAAGGCATTCCAAATTGTGCCAAAATATACACTTTTGGTGGTCTAAAAGTCTATTTTCACTCTTAATTATAGAGTTCAAAACTCTAAAAATGGCACAAATCGAGTAGATCTATAAACACTTGAAAATATTTAAAATTGATGGTCCAGATAATGTGCTACATTATGCATTATTTTCATGACAAATTTTTTTTTCCGATATCTATATATTCGAGGTTGAGATGATCAAGTGGATGGTTTTAATAATGACAAAACAACCTTTTTCCTTAGACTTTTGATTGTATCTTATTTCTATAGTATAAAGATGACGCCTTAAACATTTTTCCTATTTCTAATGGAAATTATATCATGCACTTCAAATGTATAATATTAGTTATATACACTTAGCTTTAAGTCTGTCAAGGGGCATCAGCTCTCCACTGCCTATTGGTAAGGTTGTATGGCGTATGGCTGCTTTTTGTACACCTTAAGTACATATAGGCTATGCTCAATATTTGAAAACTCAAAATTCAAATGCTTTACTATGAGAATAATCATTTAGGAACTATAATCATTTAGGAACTATTAGGTGATTTCCAAAATTTCAGATCAAAAAAATTCTCTCAAGCAGGTCTTTTTTTACAAAGGGAGTGGATTCCGCGGGAGCACGGTATCCGTACTCCGTTAGTATTACAACTAGTACATACTCGCCAAGTTTCACATAGAGACTCAAACTCGAGACCCCTGATGAGTCCCGATTACGAGCCTTGCTTTTGAACATTGGTTGCATTTGACCACTCAAAAGAATAGTAAATACTATATCAATCTACATATTGCAATATCCTAGCCTTTCCTTAAGCATTTGGTGGAACCATGTATTCTAATTTGGCTTGAAAGTGCTCATAACATTAACTCTATAACTTTTACCTCCTTGAAAATTTTGATCAATAAAAGATAATCATGGATGGGCTAAGGCTAGGTGATTAGGGTTGTGGGGCACTACGATATGTCGTCTTGAGTTTTTTTTCTACCACATATAAGAAGTCTTTCTATATAGAGCAACCAAAAAAACAAAAAATAAGGGATACTCTCAATATGCCTCACTAGAATAGTTCCTTAGGATTAGTTTGAGTATATTAGATTTCAAGATCATGGCATTTGTTTGCTCTTGAGAAACTTACGCTCGGACCCTACAAATATCTGTTACTATATTTTTTCCAAGAATTTTGTATTTTACACTCATTCTCTTTTTATCTTTTCGTTTACTTCACTTCGAACCTTGAAGATCCGAAGCAATAACAACTTTCGACCAAAGTATGAAAAGTTTTCTTACTCTAACTTCAGACCTTAAAGTTTTGAAACAATCTATGGATCTTAAGTTTGATCCCTGAAGATATGAAGTTAATACTTTTAACAAAAAAAAGTATTGCCACTTTGGACCTTCAAGATCTGAAGTGGTAAAATAATTATTGATATCGGATCTTGAAACTCTAATAAAAAGACTAGAATTTATTTACCACTGATTTGGATTCCAATATTTTGAGAAAAGGATTGTCTATAAAGAGACCATTTATCTTTTGTATATGTAGGTTACAACTATTCTCACTCATTCGATATAAAATTGAATGGCTTGGGGTGAGTCACGAAGTTCGAATTTTTTTTGGAACTTTGTATCTAATCTATGACATTCTTACAACCACCCATTTTGAAATATAAGGGACAAGAATGATTATAATCTTCTTACACAAAAGTTAAAGGGAAGATTACAAATAACCCCCAAGACTAGGCTTTCTATGCAAGTTACCCAGAACTAAAATATTTTTCTCACTTTTTATCCCAAAATATACTTTCTTCGCAAATACCCCCCAACCAAAAAAAAAAAGTCTAAACTACACTCCCTTATTTTTACCCACATGTCTCTCTCCTCTTTCCCACGAAAAGGCGGTCCGACGTATTCTTAGGGCGGTCCGACAGTGTAATGTCGGTCCAGCAGTACAAATGGCGGTCTGACACTGACAAAGAATGGTCCAGCATTAGGCCCATGCAGTCCGGCACTGTCAAAGAGCGCCCGACAACAGGCCTATGCGGTCCATCAACAAACCCAAAGTGCGGTCCGGCATTATGTTTAGTTTAACGGGGTCCAGCAATATCAAAGAGCGGTCCGGCAACCCATGTAAGCCACGTGAATGTTCGACCAAAATTAAATTTTTATGTACGAACAAGAGTATTTTTATAAAAAAAATGTACCTTTTCTTACTTTCAATAAATCGCCACGAACATAGCATGTCCATGAATGATTATAATGCAATGGGGCGAAACACTCATATTCCCCATGAATGATTATAATGCAGTGATATATGGTCCATCAATATTGCATCTTGCTTGCATAATTAACTTATGTCAGCAATTGTCATTCCTATTAATTTCTTTTCAATAGTTCAGTTGTAGAAATGGAACTGTAGACGTCATATTGTGGCACCTGCCACCTTGACTATCCAGGCCTAGCGACCATTCCTAAAAAAGCGTGTCTCAACTTGTTTGGGATTTTTTGGGCAAACTCCAAGGGAAAAGGGCTGGTCTATTTGTTTGGGCCACTGGGCTTTTCAAGACAAACTTCAGGGTTTAGAATTCTTGACCTCCCTCACCCAACCCGATATGCTTACTACTAAGCCAAAGCCTAAGAAGACAAATGTCATTATTGGTGTGGAACTCTTGAAGATAATGCACGTTATGAATCATTTCTTTGAAGATTAACTAACAAAAAGATCCCATGCTCTAGGAGGCTTCCTTCTTTTCACAATATCTTCGAGGCACGAAACATTCATGTTTTTGTTGGTGAGCTCATTCATCTTGACCAGTGTTCGTAAAATCGAACCGGAATGGTTAACCGGACATGGGTCTGGAAGCGATTTAATCGGCCTAACCGGTAAACCGGCCGATTCAACCGCTCTAACCGGGCAAGTCTTGGGCGGTAAAAAGGTGCTAAAAAAAAATTAAAAAAATATAAAAAAGATCTACTAAAATACGAAAGTACTGAAAGAATGATTAAAGCAAAACACATTCACATGAAGTTGAAAATTATTGAAAAAAATGGGTTTTAGCTCATTTTATAATTTCCAAAGGCTATTTTTAAAATTTTCTAAAAAAGATGGGAAAATATAAAAGTGAGTATTAATGACCAAAATAAATTTTAATCTTTACCATAATATAAAGAATATTTAAAAATGCATTACAAATCAAATTCCTTTTTTTTGAGAATTTATATACATTTTTTTAAGTTTTTATTTTTTAAATATCGGTTGATCACCCTAACAGCCCAAAACAGGAACCGGCCACTGGCCGGTTTCGATCTAACTGGGTGATTAGCGGTTAAATTTGACAATTTTGCAAACAATGATCCTGACTGAGACTCATATTGAAGGTTTTCTACATTGTATCCGTATTTATTAACTTAGCATGAGACTCGTATTGAAGGTTTTCTAATTTGTATCCGTATTTATTAACTTAGCAATAGACTTTAAAACTTAATTGAGGGTCTGAGATTGCTACTTACATAGCTGAGTTTTTAAAAATATTTGAGAAACCTAGAAGTCTTATTCATAAAATGCTTTTAAAGCCTCGAGCTTAGATTAAGCTACCTTTGGGTTTCAAAACTTTGTCCCACATGACTCTCCTCTGGGTTCTTGTTGAAATTGTATATGATATTTCGCCATGACTCTATTCTATTCCTTTTACCTCAACACGTTATACTCTAATTTGTTCCAAAAACTCTCCCCATCTCATCTTTGTGCAAGCCATGATTGATTCACGCACGCGATCCTTGATTCTCTCAACCCATGACCCACCACTTAAACTCTCTTCAAAACATTCATCAGGTTAGTGATCCCAATTCCAACCTACTTGCTTTAAGATTGAAGGGAAACCGCTAATCGATTACCTCTTGCCATTTCTCAGAACAAAATGTTCACCTTTATTGAAATTTTTCATCATTATTCAATCTTGTGAAGAACAACCAATTCTTTTTAATCTTCCGTCACACATTTTGCTTCATTTATGAAGTATAATGCTTCTCCATAATTTCTTGATTTAGACAACGTCATATGGCTCGCATTTCTGATTCGTAGACAAATGAGCTACTTATGATTCTCTTCCGTTAATCTCATCAGAGGGCATGTTGAGATGTTAATTAAAAATATGGACCAAACTGTGAACGAAGTAATTGTTGTTTGTTCGAAGGCCTTATTTGTGACTGTTCGAACTCATAGAGCATCCCTTTTAGTCATTGGTTGTAACTGGGATTTGTTCTGGCTTACTAATTCAAGTTAGAGCCTCTGGTTTTCTCATTGTTTTGAGTAGATAAAATATTTGGTAGCTTAGAAAAAAAAGGCAATAAGAAATAAATGAATGCAAAAGGTAAGCATATCGTTATCTCTCTAATTCATTACAAAAATTTGTACGTACAAATGGTGCTACCACCATGATCCGAGTCCCATTCATACCTAACGCATTCAAAAACCACTGACGATTTCAAAAACTGATAGGTAGGGGCTCGACATCCCCCACTGAGTTACCCAAAAAATATATGAGAAGTCCTACGTTGACTTTTCAAATGAGGTGTCCAAGATACATATATTGGTTGTGGCTTTTCATAATTGGGAACAACCATAAGAGAAAAATGGTGATGAAAACATTTCCTGGTTTTGTTGATTTAATTGCGAACTCTGGCATTGGCATATATTCGTTGCTGCTCCAAATAAATAACTACAATGGTTGGTCTTATGCCTAAAACTGCCGTGCTCACTACCTTGTTGAAGGATGAAACAGGATTTCTGATTCCATGCTGATTGATGTGAAGGATTCCTTTCTTGAGCTTCTCCTTTTGAGACGGGAGCGCTCCAGCTCGATGCATCCCTTCAATTCACTGATAACATCACTCATGGTGGGCCTCTGCATAGCAGACTGCGATGTACATGCCAGTGCTATTTCTGCAGCTTTCCATGCAGAATTAATGTCGTACCCGCCTTGCAACTGTGGATCCATCACACTTTCAATATCCCCTCTTACAACCTTGGGAGTTACCCATTGTACTATATGAATTGCTTCTTCCTCCTTAATTATTGCCGGCTGACCTGAGATAATTTCTAAGAGAACTATCCCAAAGCTATAAACATCACTCTTCACATTTAGCTGGTTGGTAATGTAATACCTGCAATTTTATAGAAGTTAGTTTAGCTAATATTTCACATATTGAAAAATAAATACCATTTCAAGTTCAAGTAATATGAGAAGAATCCATGCAAAATATTGGTCTTATATACATCATTTTTCTTTGTCGGCTACTGTCTATTGGCCCTATGTTTGCATCGTAGAAATGAAAGGGAATAATAAAGGAAAACCAAACCATCACTCAGGCAGCCAACTGGAAACCGTATATTGCTCATGTAGGAAAGCAAAATTGGTGAAGAATAGCTCTCCACAATGTCAGATATTCTGGTAAAAAGCTTCAGGTCTTCTAAAAAATTAGAAAAAGAAGATAATCTAAGAAAATGGTAAATAAGGTTCCAATGTGTCCGTAATTCCTGTTCCCCTTCCCCTTTTATATAGTTGAATAGAGTTACTTGAATTATAGGAAAGCACATGACCCTATAGCTTCTAGATGGAATAGATGAGATAAAAGAAATATAGTGTACTTTCAAGCATGGTTTTGTATGATTACAGAGGCTGAAAGAACATACACTAAAACGTTTCAGGTTATTTTTTTCGTCTATATTGGATAAAATATTTTTTTCCCTCAGAAAAAGCAGCAAGGACGGCTAGAGTTTAAAAGACTTTCTTAGGGCAGATGGAATTGATGAGAGAAAAATTGGCATAGAATGTGTCCTTTTGGTTGATTGATTTTGGTTGGTTGAGAGAATAGTGAGGCCAAAACTCGTAGACTGGAAGGAAAACTAAAGGACATGATGCAATACTCAGGATCCACATATCCCGGTGTGCCCATAACAGTAGTTGATATATGAGTATCTCCTTCGGTTGGCCCGAATCTGGACAACCCAAAATCTGCTAATTTGGCTTCGAATTTCTCATTTAAAAGGATGTTGGATGTCTTGATATCTCTGTGAACAATTGACGGTTTGCATCCATAATGTAGGTACTCCAATCCTACAAATATAAGTACTTGTTAAGTAATTGAAATCCAGAAAAGGAGGAAAACAATTGATACTAATTGTTCTTGCATACCTTGTGCAGCACTCAGAGCTATTTGGATTCGTTGTTCCCAGTTTAGTACTATTGAGTTGCTTCTCTTGTCTGCATGAAGTGGCACACAATTCTGAGTCTCTTTTCATTGCAGTGCTATATACACTTTATTATAGTTGAAGCTGATGCTTCAATGTGAGTTGCGCAAGTTTCAAATCTATATCATTATTTTGATAGTGGAAGATATGAGTGGCTTAATAGAAGGCATTTGTTTTGATTGCAGAACTGTCTTTGTGATGTGCACAGGAAGTGATATTTGAAACAAGGTGCCTCAACTGGTTTGGTAGTTTGCACTGAAGTAATGTATCGGTCTTTGTCTCTCTATATATATTTTGGAGAGTATCAGTCTATATGCTTTAGAGTTCGTCTATCAAGAACTGCTGAAAACTACAATAATAATGGTTTTATTTTGCTGGATACATGACTGTGCTATCATTGGGAGTCAAAAGAGAATTATGTGACTCCAAAACTACGAAGTGGTGGAATGAAGCCAGCAGTCAATATGCTGAAATTTTTTGTTAATTTCCTTCTACCAATCTGTGAATTACCAATGGCAATAATAGGTACTCCCAATTATTGTAGTATTATAATTCAATAGAACAGTTTGTTTAAAGCTACCGGAATCCGGATTATGAATGGCGGCAGTAATTTATTTCCTTCCAGATACACAATACAAATTAAATAGCAATGTTAAAAGATTGTTTGTTGTGTTATTCCCCTATGATTTGATTATATCTTTTTTTTCTTCAATTTATATAATGCAGCCATAGTGCCATACTTCATAATTTATTTGCTTTGGCTAGCATTCTGTTTTTTTTTTTTTCTTTAACTTTTCTGATCACTGCAAGATTTCTCTGACTCTTTTCCAAGGCAAAAGCTGTCATTTTATCCTTAACAATTTGAAATCTTGAGGAGTCCATATTTCATATTTTTTGTAACAAAGAGTGATAATAAAATATAGTTTTAGGAAAGAAGGCAAGAAATAGTTCTTCTCGTCAACGATGAAATAGGGTTAGGTGCTTTGATACTTTGATCTTAGTGATTGTGCAAGAGGTATGCACTACATTTGTTGAATGGAAGAGGGTTTGGAACCATTGTTAGAAAAACCGGCCGATCTAATTGGTAACCGCCCGGTTAGATTGGAACCGGCCCTTTCCGGTTTCGGTTTAGGGCGGTTTTGGTGATCTGCTGGTATTTTAAATAAAAAATTCAAAAAAATGTCTATAAAATCCAAAAAATAAGAAATTTGATTTGATATACATTTTTTAATATTTTCATATTGTGAAAAAATTTAAAAATTGTTTTGGTCATTAATACTCACGTTTAAAATTCAATTTTTCATTAACTTTCAACGTCATTTGAATGCGTTTTTTTTTAATCATTCTTTACATGATTTTCATATTTTATTTTTTTGCATCTTTTTTATTTTTTTCAACAATTTTTTGGCCGCCTGAGACTTGCGCGGTTAGAACGGTTGAATCGACTGGTTTACCAGTTAGGCCGGTTAAACCGCTTTTGGCCCCATGTCCGGTTAACCGTTCCGGTTTGATTTTGCGAACATTATTTGGAACCCTAGATGACTGTGCAAGAGGATGGAAAAGCTTCAAACCAGAGAATCATGGTCACACCCACTATTGATTCTAAAAATTGTTCCATAAAAGGCACTATAACAGAGCTAAGTTTATGTATGAACATATACATATAGAAGTATGTATGTGCATTTAGGTTTGTACGTATGATGCATTTATATGTGAATATAATACATGTGTGTATGTATATTTCACGTTGTATTTATATATGTGTAGTTTATGATAAATATTATTTAATAACTTGAAAGATGTCTGTATTACATGTTTATCTAATAACTTATTCTATTTTAAGTAACTTTTTTATACAAATATAAAGGTTAGAATGCAACTGTAATAACTTCAAAGTTCAAAATAGTTACACAAATTTATCAGTAAGTAGAGAAGCACAATCACATCCCACATTGTTTCTGGGCCATTACATTCAAGCTAACTTATCTGCTTGTTTGAGTGTGCATCGTTCGTTTCATATGAGTTATACCTATATTCTTCTGTGAAGATAGAAGTGCCTCGCACATATCGTTAGATTCAATGTTACTCGAGATCATGGTTCACTTGAGAGATGATCTCATAAGAGAACTATATGTAAATAATATTTGAAATAAAAAAAACAACTATAGGTCTGCTATGTTTGAGAAGAAAGAGAGGAAAATAACATCCAAACACAACTATAGATCTGTTTAGTTTTTTGAGTCTATTTCATATTTCTCTCCTCTTGGATAGTTATGCTCTCTTCAAGGAGAGCACAAAAGTCAGGAAGAGAGAAATCTTATGCCACTACCTTTATCTACTCCAACTCCAACTCCCTTTATTTCTGAAGTTTTTAAGATGCCTCAAAATGAAGATGGGAATGTACCATTTGCAATCAAGGAAAAGATGTTGAAGACTTATGTTAGAAGGAAGAAGTTGGTATGACATGAAGTTCGGAACGATCATGACTCTGGTGTCATTCTGGAGCCAAGTTATAATCCTTCACATCCTAGTATTTATTCACCTTCTAATCCATTCCTTGTGTCAGATATTGACCTACTGATTGTATTATGTAAGGTAAGATCATGTACACAAAATCCAGTAACTTTGTTTCTTATAATGTCGTATCCCCTTCCTATCATGTTTTCCTATAATCCATGTCTACTGTTAATATTCCATCCAGTGTAATTGAGGCTTTATCGCAACCTCAGTGGAAGGCTATTATGTGGGGGAAAATACAAGTTCTTGAAAGGAATAACACTTGGGAGATCACTAAACTTCCTAAGGGAAAGAAGGTGGTGGGATGCAAGTGGGTTTTTACCATGAAATACAAGGCACAATTGAAAGATACAACACGATGTTGGTTGCAAGAGGTTTTACTTAGAGAAATTGCATAATGCGGTATGCAGCCATGGGTGCATCTCCCACACCCATATATATGGGTTTTCATGATGCGGCCTGATATGCGGCACATCTACCACATATGGGCCACATCACACATTTGGTAATACCTGCATATGTGGCCATGTCTCGTGGATGGAAATTTTTCCACGAGCTTGGGCAAACTAGTTATCACCTCAGGACGGACATGGGGTCCAAACAATTTGGGGGGTATATGACCCCCCCTAAAAACCCTTAGAACCATGTTTCCATGATTCTAAGGGGATTCAAATAAAAATGAAAAAGAAAAAAGGATTAAAAAATTATTTGTGCTTCCAAAAATTTTGAAAAGAATTCAGGATTTGTTCCTGAATCTTTGGTCGATTGATTGATATTGTTTTGAAGATTCATTTTGATGGTCTTATGGTAAAAATTCAACGAGTATTCGAAGGATTTAAAGCCTAGGAGATTGAATCCAAGAAACCGAAAGTTCTTTTGATTTAGGGTTTGGAATCTTGGGTCATTATTTTTTGTAAGTTCCATCAACTATTACTTTCTTTTTTAAAACAATGTCTTCTTCATCAAGCAACAAAGATCCGGTATTGAAATATTCAAGATTCGTAAGCTATGTCAGAAAACATATATTGGGGGAATTTTCTCATAAAAACGACATCTTGTCGGAATTATCGGGAATGTGAGGGCATTTCCTCAAGCAATGGGTGAGATTAGGGCATATTTGGATGGCCTTAAAAAAAAATATAGAGGAGAAAAAATAAAATAAAAAGAATTGTTAGATGATATTTGTATGTGTGATGATGATGTAGAAGATGCCAACTCCAAAGTTGGAAGTGGGTGTAGAATTATAAGGGAGAGAGTTATAAATATCAGTGGAGATTCATATCAAATCTCTCCCTAAGGGCCCAATCGATGCTTTTTGTACCCTTAACCCCAAGTTATGGTTGAGGACAGGAAGAAGTAAACAAAACGAACCACGCTTAAGAATAGATACAAGAAAGAAGAGAGGCATAAGGTTGGTAAATACGCTGCCAAGTGGTTTTATCTAGCTGGTATTCCTTTCAATAGCGAGAGCATTGATAGCTTCAAGGTTATGGTTGGGGCAATTGGGCAGTTTGACTCAAGGTCCAAACCCCCTTCATTTCATGAGCTCAGGAAGCTTCTTTTGAATGATGCATAAAGGATGTGAAATATATTTTGACTTCTCAAGAAGAAGGGCGGGAGACGTATGGGGTGACCATCATGTGTAATGGCGGTCTGATAGTAAGTCTCAGACTCCTTAAGGTACTGTTTTTGTGAAATCTATTGATGCATCAGACATATCACATGATGCCACTTATTTGTGTGGATTGATGGATGAAATTGTAGATAATGTGGTACAGAGTCTCACCAACATTGGTAATTCCTCTGCAACTAGGCATCTCTTGACTTTGAAGAGGAGGCAAATGTTTTGGACGCCATGCATCTCATTTTGCTGATCTCAACCTTGAGGACATAGGTAAGACCTCTACGTTTGATGGGGAAATCACCAAAGCAAAGTCTATTCATTAGTTTAATCTATAACATACTATTGTCCTAAGCATGATGAGAGAGTTTACAAAAGAGCGAGAGTAAAAGCAGGAGTCACTAGAATTGCCACTGCATTTATCACTCCTCAAAGCCTATGTAAGTAAAAAGATGGCTAAGGAGCATGTTCACTTTAGAGAAGTGGACTAGAAATAGGTGGTCAAGGAGAAAAGCAGAGAAAATTGTTTTTAGTACTTCCTTTTGGACCCAATGCTACTATTGCGTACAAATTTCTTGCCCTTTGGTGAAAGTGCTTCGATTGGTGAAGATGCAAAGCCCGCCTTAGGCTGCATACATTAGGCCCCGATTGAGCCCAAGCAATCCCCTATTGATGCTTGGCAACATGGAATGAAGAAGTCATGCCATCACAGTCAGATTCAGATACTCATTTTCCCATTCATCATGGATGGAGGCTCTTCTCCTTCCTTGCGATGTAACCAATTTTCTTTATCTTCCTATGAACATTTGGCAGATTGAGACCATTCTAAATAGTTTGTCCCACCTAACTATAGTGATCGTCAATCTTGGGTGCTCAGGTTGACTGCTTCCTAGGGAAATATTGTGTTTGATTTTTAATCTCTCTCTCCTCTCTCTCTCTCTCTCACTCAAAACACACTGTCTTTTCCTAATGTACTGATTTACTAGTTTTCAAAGTTTGATAATTTTCCTTTTTTCTTGTTCTTTTGGACAAGAAGGATATGGAATATATTTTGTTTTTTGGCATGGGGTAAAAAAAATTGAGAGAATGAGGTTTGGTGTTTCCTTTTTTTTTATTTGTTTTGCATGAAAGAAAAAGAATCTGGGATGAACTTTCCCAGTAAAATAGGGAAACAGTCCCAAGAAGAAAGGAAAATCTCAATTTAAATCCCAAGAAGAAAGGAAAATCTTGATTCTAGGGTTGCTAAAAAACAATTGACATCTTAGGATTTTTAGCTCTGCTTTGATAGCATATTAAGCTTAAGAAAGAAGAGCGGAAAAGAACCTTCAAGCACAATGATTGGGTAAAAAGTACTGATGTATATTTCATTGTTCAAATCATGGGGCAATATGCCCTATATATGTTAACATCCAAGCAAAGTAGCTAAGTCCATGATGCTATACAAAGGACCTTAATAAGCTTTAGTAAAGATTGAGTTTCAAAAAACAATGCGTAGGTTAGCTTGGTTTGTTATTCTAGGCCTGAATTTCAAGGGAAACCCTTGACCTTTAGCCAGCAAACCAGGGGTGTCTCCCAAAAGAGATTGAGAGCTGTAGTGATCTCACTAGAGATTGAAAGCTGATGAACCCACAAGAGATTGAGAGCTGATGAACCCACAAGAGATTGAGAGCTGTAGTGATCTCACTAGAATGGATCTTTGTTTGGTGGTAGGTAAACATGGCTAATTAGGGAGTCATTAGAATGCTTTAGTTGCATCATAGTTAGATATTGTTATGTTGGGATAAGTACCTTGTCACTCTTCATTGTTTTGTTCGTTTCTCATGGTTGGCATTGTTAATGATCCTAATTAGTTTTATTGTAACTCTTCTATTTGTATGTTAATTCATGTCAACAAATGAATGCTTTATGAGCATTATGATTTTCTGCACAAGCTGTTTTGCTACTAGTGGATAAAGTTATCTTTATTGTGATTTAATGGTCCTGTTTGTTTGCCTTAGTGGTTCTATTTACAGCTATACATAACAAGAATAAAAATGAAAATGGTAGTATCTCCTAATAATACACTTGTCCTGAGAGTGGTGGAGTTGTAAAAAGGGTTCACTGCTAGTAGTCCAATAAAGATTTAAAAAGAGAAAAGAAAAAGGAAAAAAGACAGAACTTACAATAGGATACAAGTGAAAGAAAGCAATTCAAATATCATACCTGACAGGATCGAATATAGATTTCCTTTAGGCATATATTCATAGACAAGAATCTTCTCTTTGTCTTCCTCAGAGAATCCTATCAAGGAGGCCAAATACTTGTGATGAACTCTCATCAACAGTTTGACCTGCTTTGCCAAAGTCCAAATATTTATCCTTAATCATCATCTTCAGAGCCTTATCCCAAAATCCAAATATTTATCCTTATTACAAGTTAAGAATATGTTTATGTCAAACTAGATTTAGGTTCTTTTTTCATACAAACCTCAGCAGAGAATTCCTTGACTCCTTGTCGTGAGTCTTTGGACAATATCTTGACAGCAACTTCACGGCCATCAGCTAGGCGCCCATAGAAGACAGTCCCATATCCTCCCTGACCAATGACCTTTTCATAGTCATTGGTTATTTTAACAATCTCAGAGTGTGTAAATGCTCGAGCGCCATCTGAATTTGATGAATTTTTTCTGTTTCTCATGCTTAAGATCTTTGTTCCTGGTGCAATTAATGGAGAGTAAAACAGTCTGTTAGACAAATCAATAAGATAGATATTTCCATTTGACTTTTCTATTATTCTCGAAATTCTGCATTAGCTATTCCGGCATGTTCTTTGTCATGGTCTATTCCGTCTCTACTCCTAGTTGGTTTCCTCAGCCGTTTCTAAAATCTCACAGTTTTTGGAAATGATCCCAGTACAGATTATTAAGATACCAAATTAATACTATTTTAATATAAAAGACAAAAATTAATACATCTGGGAAATAATATTACCTTATATTTTGCTAGGAAGTCATAAGTTTGTCCATAAACATGGATGCAGCAGTCACAAAGGCTAAAAAAACCTGGAACCTTGACTTAAGGTCTGAGAAATTAGGGCAGTTACATTGGCTTTTGATCTTGAAAAATTGGTTCCCTTTACTGAATGATTTCTTCTAAGATAATCACTTGTATTTTGTCTTGTATTATACCAAATTTCTTTGATTTGTGGTGGGTTGGTTGCCCTGTAGATGGTGATTGTTTCTTTGAAATTTTAAACTGGTTTTTGGTCCTGGGCTTACTACTTAAATTCTTACTATCGGAAAAAGACCTAACTATGATATATAATACCTGTTTTGTCATTCTCTTTATTTTGAGAAACTGTCAAGTCAGTGTGGAGAAAATTGTTGAACCACAAAAGGAAACATTTTCTTGAAAGGTTACTTGAGTCTTTTGGCAGAGACAATTGGGTATTTTAGAGACATAATCAATTTGAATTACTTCTTGTTACTTCCTCTAAGATGTGTTCTTGTCGAATCCCAAACCATACATCATCGTTAAGGATGCCGTGCTCTGATTTCAATTTTGAAAGATGTAAAAATGAGTATAAGATTTGTTAACTATGCACCTCTGAAAGAAAATTTGAATGTGTACATAAGCAGTGCCACCGCTTATGTTCAAGCAGTGATATCAATTACTGGAACTGTGGTGTCACTTTTTCTGTGCTGACTGTCAACAATGTAGTTCATTTTAAGATTTTATATGGAAATGAGAAGCTTTAACAGACAAGTCTTACAAGACAGCAAGTGGGAAATCCTGCACCAATGATGTGGTACCTGTGGGAAGGAATCAAGTTTGAGAGTGTAAACTGAACCTAATATTTAGCTGCCAGTTGCTAGTAGCAAGGCATGAAAATACTTATAAGAGTCATCAGCTTTGAACTTACCAAATATAAAGTCCCCCATATATTTACCAAAACATTCTAAATTTAGTAGATGGTGTCCAAGCCCTATAAAACTTGTTTATGGGAACGTCTGAATGATTGAAAAATCCTTGTTACGTCTATGCTATCCACTATCTAAGTTGTGCCTATGGTCCTGCAATGCCAAGTCAGGAAGCTGTTGTGCATTGATGGCAGAAGTTGGGAGCTCCAGGAACAGCTATAAGAAACAAATGTTGTATTGCTTTATGAAGATCTTGTAGAGAACCACTTATTTTTATTTTAGTTATTGGGGAAAATTGTTGTGGTAGTATACCAAAACCCAATAAGCTTATTTTACGTAATGAAACTGGCCATGTATGTGCCATTCTACATTTTCATGATCCTTAGTCCATAAGACACTCCTTTCTTTTTATTTCTCTTGTCAATTTCCCCTTCACCTATCTTTGCTCTTTATCTGTCTAGTGGTAGGCTTGTCAATTTCTATGTACTCTTTAAGTACATTTCTATTTGTTCTCACTAGTGCAAAATTGATTATCAAAAAGAAGGAAGAAAACTAAAATGAAAAACTAGCCAAGGGTGGCTGATGGAAAAAAATCAACCAGCCCCAAACCGCCTAAGCATAGCTTCAACCAACGAGGTACTATTTGCATCATTCATTTCCATGCCTCATGGACAACCATGGTTTGTTTTCATGATGTATGGGTGCAGTCAACACTTGAGTAATCATAATTGATAGGTTGGTTTCTGCGAAGGTGGAGTTACCTTTTTTCTAGAATGCGCATTGCCTTTGGGCCTTCAGTATTGAGCAATTAAACGGGTTTCCCACGGTTTATTTTTCTTCCTAGATGGTAATTGGTTATTGTAAGTAGATAAATATATTTGTTTTCTAGTTGATTGTTGAATCAAAACAGCAATGTACTCCCAACCTCATAATAACAACCCTTCCTTCTCTATCACAATCCTTAGCTACCATGGAATGGAAATCAAAGAAGTTGCACGCATGCTATAAAATCCAATGGGAAGGATGATTAGTACATCATGTCAACCACTTGTGAGAATATCTGAGATTGTATTTTAGTAGACTTGACTGCTCTGACACCAATAGCTTATGCTTATTGCTGTGCTATTTGAGTTCACGTAAATGCTTAATTCATGCTGAAATGGACTATCATTCCATTTTGGAGTTCAATGATGTAAACTTCATCTTTTCTTCATCCCAACGAACTAACATGCACTAAACTTGCTCACGGAAACCATACATTCAAAGTAGTAAATGTTGTTAATGTATATTCTCTTTTTCCTGGATCTACATGTTCGTGTTTGACAGAGTATGCCAATATATATGGTGTATTTCTATTTTCCACTGTATATGAGGTTTTGTTATTTTGTCTTTTTTATATTTTTGCTGGAACTATTTCCATACGCATGCCTTGGCTTGCTATCTTGACTATATGTAAGGGGTAGTGCCTCAAATTAGTACAATAATCCTTAACATTCACCCACATTATAGCAATTTTAATAATAACTTTTGCAGCCCTATAACCTCCATGCGGGTGTTTTTTGGATTATCACTTTATTTGTAAAACCAATGCTTCTTCCCCAACACAGAATGCTCATAAACATACAATGGTACAAAATTTTTAGTGTAAGCATGAAAATAGTATGCAAAACAAGAAATATTTTCCAAGTTAGGAACTTCTTCATTTTTCTCATACTTTTGAGGAACTAGTAAATAACAAAAAAGAAGAAACCGTTAAGGCATTAACCTTAAGAGCTCGTATTTTTTAAAATATTTAGGTGTTTTGACCAATTCGAAGCATGATTTGGGAATACGTGTTATTTTTTTGTGTAAAACTTGAGGATAGGAGGTCAAACAGAGGTTGAATGCACGCATATTGGTGTTCTTTGGTTATTTGGTATGGAGTGGCATAATTGAAAGAAAAAGTATATACCAGATGCTAAAGTATATTAGAATACTAGATGTTGGGTAGTAAATGGAAGCTCACCATTTATTTTCCTTCTCTTCATTATCAGAATAAATGCAAAGGCAAAGAGCAAGACCATTGTTGCACTAACAGATATCACAACAATAAACACATTCTTCTTGCTCTTCTTTTGAGTTGGTTCAGAGGAGTTGGGTCTTAGAAGGCTGGGATTTTGGAAAATGCTGCAAACGTTAAGTTAGAAAACAAACAAGAAGTCAGACTAGTCAGTTATAAGTGATTCTCTCAAAGAGTAAAGTAAAAATTAGTCGGAATATCAATGCTAACCGTAATAGAAGTACTCCACTGTTGTTTTTATCTATTAATGTGCTTGGAACCAGCCCTGTTAGATTGTTTCTTGACAAATCCCTATAACCAAACCATATGCATGTCCATGAAAATCATATTTGTTTTTCATTTCCCTTTTTTTACACTTTTGAAAGATTGGATCTGTACTTACAATGACGTTAGTTTGGTCAGATGAGCAAAACGTTCTGGTATGGGACCTGTCAGCTGATTATTTGATAGGTTCCTGTATCCACAATAATAATAATAAAAATTCAGAATATGGTTTCTTTTTTGGTTATATAAGAAACAATGGTTTTAAATATCATGAATATAACCAGAATTTCTTTAAAAATCAGTTGAATAACCATAATGCTCCCAATTCACAAAAACATCAAATGAGTCCATTGTGTTTTATAATACAACAATCCATGCCTTTATCTGAAAACTTAACGCATTGCATGACTTTGGATTGCTGAGGATTAGTGTAGGCATATAGTTGGAGTTTTTTAACTATGTGGATTAAGATGGTAATATAGTGTCAGTTCAAAGGTTCTTCGATAGAGAACCCTGTCCAAGAGGGTAAATCTTGTCACTTTCCTCCAAATCAAGTCTCTTTCATTTTTCTCATGTGGGAGGATCCTATATTGAATAATATTGTATAAAGTCTATATAAGGTTGTCTCCAGTCAGGTGAATCTGTCTGAGAGCAAGAGGCATGTCATACAATGGTGGCCGGTGCATCCTTACGATTGATCATCGATGGAATATTTGGTATTGTGAGCCCTGGCAATTGATATGCTTCCATTGATGGAATGAGAATCTTCTTTTCTTGGACCCAAACTTGCAGCATTTTGGAAGCAAGGAGAGTTATTGATGCTCCCAGTTTGGCCAATGCATCCGCTTGACTATTCGGGCTTCGTGATAAAGGGTGAAGAGTAGAGTCCTCAAATTATGTATCGGACTCATAACTTGTTGGTGATAGGGGAGCAACTCCTTTTTCTTCACTTGGTAACTTTTGTCAATTTGGCAGCTTACTAATTGTGAGTCCCCAAATATCAAAAGCATGTCAATCCTGAGTGCATGGGCCATTCATGACCTAGTGATAAGAGCTTCATACTTGTTGTGATTTCTTGAGCATTTCCTCTTCAAAGAAAAGGAGTAAGGGAGGAGTCCCTTCTCGGGAGTAACAAAAAGGATGCCGATGCTGGCTCCCTTGGCCTGAGAGGCAATGTTGAAATAAATTTCCCAATTGGGACAGTCTTCTACCTCGTTCAATAATTCTTCTGCTAACGGCAACCCTTCCAGCATCAAGCGTGCAACCAAGAAATAGGCTAGATCCTGTCCTTTGACAGCATGTTGAGGAAAATAAGTGATATCGTATTCCATCAAAAGAACTAACTATTTGGCCAGATGCCCCGATAACATGGGTAGGCTTAATAAGTTCAAATTAGTTTTTATAGAAATAAAAAAGTCAAGTGAACTTTTATAGAAGTTCTCTATGAAGCATCATGGGTTCTATGCATAGATACTTTTGTAGAAATACGTTTTGGGTAAGGTAAATTGTTTTTTCTTGGTAAAGATGTCTAAAATATATTGATGAGAAATAACATAAAACAATATTTCATGGCATTCATAGGAAATAAAAACGGCTAAGTTAATGTTGAAGTTATTTTCCTAGTCTAGCTGAGTACTGTTTGTAAAACAGATGGAAAAATCAATGTTGAAGTAATTGTTGCATAAATTACTCTATACTGGTAATGAACTTAAGAGAACAACCATTAGCAAAGGAAATACAAGTTTCAATCCCACACCAGCCCTTTGATTCATGCCTCCTGATGATCATGTAACTCAGTAACTGCTTCAGAATTGGAGGTGGTGTTGCTCATGTTTTTCTCCTCTTCACTCTCTATTGTCCTTCAATTACTAGCGCTCACTTCTTTTCCTGGCTTACCCAGGTTACTCATAGCATTTCTAGTCCCACACACCCTCGTTCCAATATTTCGTGTGGTCCTAGACTTTGATCTTGTGCTATGCTACATTCTCCCTCACCTTTTTATTGTACTAGAGTCCCTGAGGTTGGTCCAGGTATTTCATGCACAAAATGATATTTGAACTTGCCTCCATCTTAGCTACTTTATCTCCTGTTTGGGCTTCATATAATTTGTCTAATAGGGAAGATATTCCTAACATATTCATAGTATATCTACTGTATTAGTTACACATGGAGTGATAAAAAGTTTTTATTGATTTTTGTGCTAAGTCTTATTCGTAATGACATTATTCATTTTTCAGCTGTAAACCTTTGTAGGTTTCCCCCTGTTAAGCTGTAATTTCTTAGTATCTTTATTCTGATACAATGCTGCATGTAGAGAAGAAAAGGGCAAAGCCTGCGGAGGATCGTAAGACATAAATCTTTATGATGGGTACATAGATAGGACCCCAAATTTCACTCTGGCTTTTTTCTGAGAATTGTATAACTAATGAAGGGGATCTCTTGGAGGTCTTCCATGAATATTACAAGAACTCTCAAATCAAGAAGGTGATGAACAAATGTTTCATCATCGCATTACCTAAGGTGGAAGGGGCGTAGACTTGGCCTATTAATTTTGGGGGTAGTGTAAAAGATCTTGGATGGTATTACTGGTTTGAGGGTAAGGGAGGTACCAGGATTCATTGTATCCCATTAACAAAGTGTCTACTTGAAGGATAGATAGATATTGGCGGGCTATGGATTGTTTATGAGGCCAAATTGTGGTTAAATTCTACAACCTCTAAGGTGATGGGTTTTGGACCCGTTGATCACTTGTATTGGGTTTGGAACTCGTGAAGAAGATAGATGATGGAGTTTTGCATTCATGACACCTTATAAGGTCAATGAATCCCCAGCTCGCTTCTTTAGTAAGGAAATCTGCTTTCGTCCTTCTTTTCTGATTGTCAATGTAGCCAAGTTGGGTACACTTCAGGGCTCTTTGGTAGCTAAGATTTGCATTACAGCCTCTCAACTCCATTCGGTAGATAATATATTGATCCTTTGTCACACTCTACTACCCTTATCAAGAACTTGAGAATGATCCTCAAGTTCTATATGATGCAGTCACAGACCAATAAATTAACTTACATAATTGCTTGGTAAAAGGGATTACGTGATGTAATTAGGCGAAGGAGCTCTCCTTTACTTGGGTATAGTCATGGGACTAAATGGCGGAAAGATTATGGAAAGAAATTTGTATGGGCCACTGCTTGTCCTTGGGCATGACGATCATTTCAAGAATTAACTTGGAGAATCCTTAAGAGGTCTCATGGAAGCACAATAGCTAGGATTACAATTGCTTCCATCTAATTACATGGACATAAATTTGCAGACCCAAGGTGTAGGGTTAGCTAAGGATAGGCTCAAAGTGGTGAATATGGGATAATGTTATTCCAATGGAGGGAAGGGATGCTGGAACAGCACATCTCTGATGCAAGTTGACCATGTTGTGATATGTTGAGGTGACCTGGCAAGGCCACACTCATCATGTATTAGAATAAGAGTATTTTCATAACAAAATATGTCTATACAACATATGAATAGTATGGTTGAAACTATTGTTGGGGAATCTAGCCATCAATGTGGATTATTTCTTCAGGATGGTTTGTGAGAGTCATGCAGCCATACAAACAACTCAGTTACCCAACATATGAAACACACTGACTTGGAAAATGCATTTGTTAAAGAAAAGGTGACTTCCAAATTCATTGATTCTCATGTGAAGACAGAAATAAACTCACATACATGTAAAAGAAGGCTTTGGCGGAGCCAAGAGTGAATCACATATTGGGCGAGTTTTACATCTATGTTATCAGTCCAACACTGAAGCAATACTGTTTGGTTTTACAGTTAGAAACAGAGTCATAAAGCTTAAGATCCATGAAACGGCAAATGTTGAATTATTTATTGCCAGCTTGAGTATATAACTTTCCCATGTTTGAGTTCAGTCGTACACAATTGCCTAGAGTGAATTGTTAGTGTTTTAGATGGTGAGGAGTGAGGATGCTTGCTATCTCTAGGACTTCAAAAGCTTGTCTTTTCTTTCTAATATATTATGATCTTGTGGTTTTCTGTTGGATTCCGGCCCATTTCTCCATGGAAGATGGTTGTCCTCGCAATCTTGAAGGTTTTGAGTTCAAACTACCCAAAAACAATGTGAGCTGACTATTGTGAAGGTCCTTGGACTGGCTTCCTTCGAAAGGAAAGAACTGAGAGAATATTACTCGTGTGCATGTACAGGTGCATCTATGTGACTATATGAATTACTTACAGTGATGTAAGCTCATTCAGGTTGGCTATAGAGGCCGGTATTTCTCCATTCAATCCACTGCCCGAGAGATCCCTACAAACAAAACCCTTTAGTATCATGCTTTTATTTTCCTTTTGCAAATCTGAGTTTCTTTTCCTTCTCTTTTTGGAAAGTGCCAATGTGGAATTCAAGGAAAACATATGGTCATAAACATGGCTAGTTGGCTACATACAGTGCAATAATTCGACGGTTTGGTGCTTGATTGCAGGTCAAGGCATCCCATGAGTAGTCTTCTGGAAAACATGGGTCTCCAGTCCAACTCCTGTTCGTCAGTCTGAGTTTATCTTTGATATCCATAAGTGCTGCAACTGAAAGGCAGCATAATTGAAAGAATTGGGTAAAAAGTTGACTATGTTTTACATTTTATGACTTCAAAAATGAAGTGGAGTGCCAAAATGTAAATTGACATGCGCGATAGTAAACCTTGTTTAATGGATGGAATTTGGTTTGAATTTCATACCAAAAATCTGAGGAATTTAGACTCAGTAGCTCTAATAGAACTCTACTCTCTACTCGACCATCAAGTACTTACAATTGAAAACAAATGAATAAGAAAAGAGCTCTCTCTCTCTCTCTCTCTCTCTCTCTCTCTCTCTCTCTCACTTGTGCATCATGGCCTGAGCATGTCCACATACCATCTCCAGCATCAGTTGCTAATTGAGAGCGCATATTGGCCACATAGACCTCATACCCATTGAGAATGGGAGGGAAGCTTGATGCACTTGGTGCTCTGAAAGTGACGTGATATTGGCTAAACCGCCGCTCAGGCTCCTTCGTACACAGCCAGGTGTTAATTGTTGTGTTCATTGTGTCCCACTCTGCTCCATTGAGTTCCACGACCACAATTCGGGAGCCAGGAGTGCTTTCAAAAAAGTAGAAGCAAAAGAAGAAGGGTGAATCGGGGTCCCATGTTGGTGGGTCCCAGCTAACGCTGATGCTGCCATTTGGGTCTGAGGGCTGTGCCGCTGTCTCCATGACTACTGCTGGTGGTTGTAGTTCGTCATTGGAGTCAATGACGAATGAAGAAAAGTTGAGAGGGACCCAGTCTTTGGAGGTGTAGGGCTCCCATACTCGATCATATGGGTCCAACATGTACCTAAATGGTAGGCATTGACAATAGAGATCATCAGCATTTTATATTAGAATTTACTTCCTTCGATTTGCCAGGAAAAATTCTGCATCACATTAAATCAAACATCAGATTACAATGAAATTACCACTGAATTTTATGTGAAATCTGACTCAATTGTGTGTGAGAGAGAGAGAGAGAGATTTGGTGTTAGTGGGTTACTAGAACTAAAGAGGAAAAAAGTAAAAGGGAATTGCAAGGTCCAAGAAAGTCACTACTAACCTGACTGCTGTGTCAGATGAGCTCCCTATATCCCTCCTCACCAAGGTGGTTAAAGAACGCGAAGGATTGACAACGGGGTACATGGAGCCCGCCAATGGCCGAAGTTCCAATGCAGATATGAATGGCGTTCCAAGATCTATATTCACGAGACATACTGCCACATATTCTGTCATAATTATGCTCATTGTCTCAGTCCATACTTGATCTTTGAAATTTTGGGGGTTCACCGTGAACCAATGATCGACCCCTAAGTAAAGATCAAATTTTGGCAGCTGGAAGCTGGAATCATAGTTTCCATGCACAAACCATGCTCGGATCAAATATGTACGGTTGTGTGTCAAACCAGTCACGTTGTAACAGTTCCTTTTTCCTTGTTTAAATGCTCGAAGTGACTGATACTGAGTTGACAAGGAAGAGTTGTTGATGGTCATAGGTTCACCGGTATCGATGTACATCGCATCAGAAGTATAATGGATGGTTGTGCTTGGATCCAGATACTCTGCTCCCATATATCCACAATCTAGATATACGGATCCTGAACCAAATTCATCATCATGTCAAATACTTCAGCCTAGTTATTAACATCCCCATAGGGAATTGTTCTGTTTCTCTATAATATAATCAAGTGGAATAGTTCTACCACAATAACATTCAAGCATGCACATGTGACACACACATGCAACCATGTATGTTGAATATCTATGATTCACATGGTTGGAAAAACAATGTGTGACATTTAGAAAGGTGTGAATGACATGTTACAATGTCACATCTTTAAAAGATGTTGCATCTTTAAACCTTTGGTATATTGTTCTAGAGAGCAGTTTAGTCATACGTACGGAAGTTTGAGTTCTTTGCTAAACAAGAAAAAAAGATTTCTATCTTACATTGCTCCTGCATCTTGCAATGAGATTGACCATCCTAATCTCTATCTTCTAGTGCAAGTTAGTGTCGGTTTTATACGAAGGGTGATTGACAATAATGCGTCAAGCCGTATGACTTGTGATTATTCACATATGGTAGATTCCACACCGCCACATGATTCTTCTTTGATGTTTAGTACTGACGGTACACTTTTTTAGTAATATATTTCCTTTTCACGCATAACTATATTATAGGCATTCTACAATGTGAATGGAGATCATCTTCCACCTATTTTGATGATACATCGCCCATGTCATAGTGTTTTTTTTTTTTAATATTCTATTCCATTTTATAGTTCCTATAGTTCATTTTGCTAGTTATGCAAAACCAGGTGGTGGAAGTAGTTACTCTTTCATCGGATCATTCTTGCTATGAGGTGAAGTCTTATAAGTAGTAGTAGGTGTACAGTGTGGACTACAGGCTATAAAAGAAGAGTTACATGCATTGGTAGAAATTCATCTTCCTCTACAATTACAAACCCCAGGGCTTATTTTTATTCTCTGGTCCACATCTTCACAGAAGATGCAGAGCAAGAACATAAATCTGAGTAAAGCATAAAATGGAGGATCTAGACTGCCTTCAGCTAAGATGGATGGTGAGTACTGATATAAAATAAAGAAGCTTTCAAAGCTAAAGATTTGTGTAGTCGAAGCTAGAGTGTAGTCATGTCGTTTTTGTTTTTATTTAAAGACTTTAATGTTTTTGAAAAATCATATCAATTTTGTTTCCATTTCCAATATTTCTAAACTCTTATTCTTGGACCTAACTGTCTAGAACATAAGAATAGTAATTCATATTTTAGCTCATTCTAACATTAAAGGTTTAGAAAATATTATTAGTTTTCTTCAATTATTTTCTAGTTTATTTTTCTGCAATACAGTTTTGGCTCGTCAGCTGACTCACTAAAACATGTACATCTCCTTAGGATGGACTTCAAAAAATGGTGCTGGATTCTAGAAAGACAAAAAAAAATTCCATATTCATAATCACCATAAAAGTTGAGATTAACAAATACCAAAATTTTGGATCCAAAATCCATCTTTAAGATGCACAGGTGAGTTGGCTGACTCTTTTTTCTTTATTTTTTTATACCTTTATGTGCAATGCACGTAAATCCACCAAGGAGTAAGGGAGCTGGAAGTTTACTTTCATACTTACCATCTTGGCCGCAAACCACATATGTGAAGCATAGCAATCCCAGGAGATGTACACAAAAAATCAGCTTTGGCCTCTCCATCTCTTGAAAGTAGTATTGAAGGACCTGCACAGTTTTATATACCATGTGTCAATGATATAATTGGTATTGAGTATACTGATGATTTGCAACTATTTTTATTGAAGAAAAGGATTTTGAAAATGAGGCATTAAGATAAGAGGTGGTGGTCCTATCATATTTCCTAAATAGTAGATACCTTTAGACAAGGTTTCAAAAAACGCTTGGGGACCCTTAGGCGACCAGCCTGGTGCCTAGGTGGGCACCCAAAATCTCAAGCGCCCCGCAGTTTAAAAAAACGAGAAACACCTAACATCCCTGGGTGCCTCCCTAGCCTGCTTGGGCGCCCGGCCAATTACATCCGCTCGGGGCGCCTGCCTAAGTACATCAGACCGGGGTGCTCGCTCAGGTACATCTGCTCGTGTAGGGCGGCCTAGGTCTAGGCGGGCAGATTTTTGGTCCAGGCTGCCTAGGCGGGCGCCAGGTGAACCGTTTTCTAAAACATTGGTGCGGTTTGTATAGAGCCGAGGCTCTAAACAATCAAATTTGAGCCCATCTTCAAATAGTGTCGAAAAATATGATTTCAATACCAGAAAGTTTTGTGATAGCCTTAAAATATATTTTCATATGTAGTTATAAAATTTAACGCTTCAAAAATAGTTAGATTAAACAGATCTATGAAAACTTGAAAATCTTGAAAATTGACGGTAAAAAATGTGTTATAAGATGCATTATTTCCAAAATTTGAAATCCATTTTTTTCTCATGTCCATACATCTTGATGTTGAGATGATCAATTTGATGATACTTAGACATCAAAATAACCTCTTCTAGTGAAAGTTTTGAGGTAGGCTTTAATTTGATTGTTTAGAGCCTAGGCTCTATATAAACTTTTCCCTTATTAGTTTGGCCCAATTATGGCAACTTTGAGTTAGACAGGAGTGTACCTTACTTTGAATGTTTAAGGTTTACATCTCGTATAAGGTCAAGAGAAATTTCTATGTTCAAGAGAAAAATGATAAGTAATTAGGTAGAGAACTAATATTGTTCAAGAGAAAAATGATAAGTAATTAGGTAGAGAACTAATATTGTTACTAAGATCTTATTTTGATTGTTTAAAGTTAGACATCTGGTATAAAATCCATTCATTTATAAAGAGAAATTTCTATATTCAAATGGTAAAAAATGACAAGTAATTAGGTAGAGAACTAATATTATTACTATGGTAATCCATTTCTATCTCCTGCCTCCTTAGGGGGTCGTTTGCACCCAAACGATGCACTTTGTTGCCAAATTCCATCTTATCGTAACAGATTTTTAGGTATCGAAACACCCCATAGTGAAAATCAAACCCCCTTATGTTGCACTTTAGTCATTTTTAAATTAATTGAAAGAGGCGCATCAAGAGTATTAAATCAAAGTCTTGCAATTTATTTGAGCAAATTAAAAAAAAAAAACCCTAGACTCAACTTCTTGAAATTCTCCACCTCAAACCTAACTTTTATATCAAAAACTCATCCAAGTTAAAAAAAAAAAAAAAAAATTAAATGGTTTGGAGGGCAGAAACACCCTTGCCCGTACATGAAGCGATCACATTTTTGGAGACGCTCAGCTATCAAAAGCTGGTCGGGCACTTTATGGTGGCGGTCTAAATGCTCACTGTGGTAGGAAGGCACTTTTTGAATGAATGGTCCGGAACATAGACCAAACGGTACGGTATATCGTAAATGCTGTCCGACATATAGACCAAGCAGTCCAACAGTAGTAGCCCTCGGTCTGGCACAAGAGTGCTGTGGTCCGAACACTTGATATATTGTTTTTTAAAAGGTGGTCTGGCAACTTTTGGTATGGCTTCGAGGCAAAGGTATTTTCATTCTCTAATTTGATTGTTTAGAGCCTAGGCTTTATACAAATCGCACCCTTTCTATCATTAAAGTATATAAAAGTATATAAAAGAAAATTACTCCCGTGGGGTTTGTATAGGGCCTAGGTTCTAAATAATCAAATTAGAACCTTCTTTCAAATTGTGTCGAGAAATGTGGTTTCAATATTGAAAATCTTTGTGATAGCCTTAAATATATTTTTATCTTTATTTATAAAGTTTAAAGCTTCAAAAATAGTGTCATCAACAAATCTATGAAAAATTTGAAAAACTTGAAAATTGACAGTCAAAAAATAAATAACAAAATACATTATTTTCAAAACTTGAAATCCATTTTTTTCTCATGTCTATGTATCTTGACGTTGAGATGATCAATTTGAGGATATTTAGATATCAAAACAAGCTCCTTTAGTGAAAATTTATATGTAGGCTCAAATTTGATTGTTTAAAGCTCCGGCTCTATATATACTATTCCCATATTTTAATGGTTATTAAAATTACCCTCCCCACGTTGACATGGAGGCTTTAGGAAAGTTTTGAACTTTGTTTTTTAATGGTAGAAAAGACTAAAATTCCCTCACAAACAATACATAAAATATTAGGTCTCTTGTATATTTTGGTCAACTTTTTATTTCTCCTTTATTACATTTTCTTTCCCACTTTAAACCCTATATTTGCCCCTATTATTTGGTTATATTGTAGGTTAGACCGGTTATTTTTTATAAAAAAGAAAGGTACACTGCCACCAGCCACCAGCCACCAGCCAAATTCATTATGTTATATTATCTTTTGGAGCTTGTTGGAAAATTGAATATACAAAATTATTTTATTGTAAAAAATATATGAATTGTGCATTAGGGTGTGGTTTATACTAAGGCATCAATCTTAAAAAGTAAGTGCACTTCCTAAAATTGCCAGAAGATGAAACACAAAATGTCCACATACACCTTACTTGCCCTTGTATATATTATTCCCTTGTGGGAGCATATACTATCCACTTACTCCCTCTGGTGAAAAACTTAAGAGGATTTGTTGGATTGCAAATTTCAGGATCCACTTAACGAATTGGATTTGGAGTTTTTTAATGCTTAGATCTCGCTGTCTCAAATTTAGAGGTCTACTGTCAATTTTGTGATGTTATTTTTTCGGGCTAAATTTCTTAATTTTTGAAGTTGATAGATAAGTTGGAAAGAATACATTGCCAAATATTGAGTCCTAAAAATACTATTATATTGATATTTACATGAGGGAATAAACTGAAAGTATTCTTCCGCAAAGCTTCAAATCTTTTTAACTTAATTGGTCGCCAAGTACGCCAAAATGCCATATAGTCACTTTCAAATATTTATCCTATATTATTAAGCTATAGTGATGCGTACGGTAAAAATAAGGGAAATTTAGTGGAGAAGACGAGCCCCTACCTATTTTTTCAAGTAGATTACGAGTTAATTTTTGTTGAAGATATTGGTAAGTGATATTAGTGGTAGGAATGAAAACCATAATGTGGTGATTAGGTATGTGGTGCTACCTCCTTGACGACTCGAGCCCTTTTTCTAAATTGGTGATTTTTGATACACTGGCCCTCACTATGTACTTAATTTATCCTAAATTAGGTGGGTTAGTTGTTACTGCATGAAGTTGATGCTATACGACCTAATTGTTGACAAAAAAAAAAAGGGAATTTTATATGCTTCCCCACATAAAGGCCATAAGATGTTCCCCTTAACGAAATGACCTATTTATAAAGAAAGTGAAAAATAACAGAATAAAAAATATGTATTAAAATATTAGGAAAATATTTGTTTGTTTGTGTTTCTTATCCACACATTAGAATTCTCATACACCTATTGGGTTTCCATCATGTCAATAATTTTTTTTTTTTTTTTTGCTATTACTATGAAGACACCATTTTCAATGGATTGTAGAAGGTGCAAATAAAATTTCTCCAGCCTCTTTATCCAAGAGCAATAATGGCAAACAAATTACTCCCAGATATTGCAAGGCATGGCCGAGCTGAGTGAACTCACCCGAGTAATGTACAAGCTCAAATAAGGGTTATGAATTTGAGAAGAATTACAAAAAAAATATAAACAAAAATAAAGTAAACGATAAACAACACTGAAAATTCAAATAATATGAAAAAAATATAAAATATAGATTTAGAAGAATTGACTTATAGATGTAAAAAAAAATTTAAAATCCAAAAAAAAGAAAAATTATGCAAGTGGGACATGTGCCAAGAAGATTATATTTTTTTTTGGGAAAATTACACGTGTTTCAAAAAAGGGCAATTTGGTCATTTTTTTAAAATATTGTAATAATGGATATAAAATAGGTACAGTTGTAATAATAGAAAATTTTAGGTGAAATTGTAATAACACTTATAATAATGGATATACGTGTAATTTTTCCAAAAAAATATAGCTTTTATGATTTTTAATTATTATTTTGTTTTACCCGAGTAAATGGAATTTTAAAACCCTGCTATGCTATGAAGAAAAACTATGCACTTTCACGAGATTACTGGGAAATTATAAAAAATATACTTTAATTTTTGGATTATTAGAAATAAACCTCAAACTTTCGAAAACCTCATAGATGTCTTTTTTAGATGTCTTTTTTTTAGTAAGTAGATGAAAATAACTTTCACGATAGTTTTAGAACTGTAAAGCATCACGGTCTATTGAAAACTCAAATGGTGATGGTGAGTTGTAAGTCAAATGTGATTTTAAAGCATCACGACGCTTAGAGACTCGTGATGGTTTATTGGTCTCATCATGATTTTTTAAGTACCGTGATGCCTCTTAATTACCATCATAGCTATTAAGGTGCCGGGATGCCTCGAAATATTAAACTGCCCATGACCATCATAGCTATTAAGGTGCCGGGATGCCTCGAAATATTAAACTGCCCATGACCATCATGATAGTGAGTCTACCGTGACGTCTTCACACTACTATAATGGTTATTTTAGTAAAAAAATATAAAAAATGAAAAAAATGGGTATGGATGAGGTTTTGAAGAGATTAGGTTTTATTTTAATGGGTTTTGCAGTTATTTCAAGAAAATAAAATTCAGCTATGGAAAAGAACAAAAATACATATATTTAACCTTTGTGGACTCAAAATTTGGATGGGGTCATATGAGTCAGCCGACTCATATTAACATGTGTTCCCCTCTAAAATCCATCTTAAGGATGAATTTTTATTTAAAAATTTAATAATTCATAATCTAAAGCAAGGCGATCATCAATATGAAAAATAAAACAAACTTTTCTAGAATCTAAAATACATTTTTTTGGATTTGTTTTGCACCGCCCATATGTTATTTGTATTCAATGCACTTTACAGAACATCAATCTTTATGATCGATGCTTGTGGGTTGAAATTTCAAAGCCATTTTTTCACTCCGATTCTCTCGTTCAAACTCACAGAGCACTGCTGCGACATCAAGCTCTGCTGCGAACCAGATGTATAAGTTGCCATTGTAGATAAAATTAAAAACATGAGGACATTGAGTTCACTTACGTGGTTGATCGGAGGGATCTGTTTCCTGCACTGTGATTTGTTCTTCAGTTTCCCATGAGTTCCTGATTTCTGAAACTCCCCTCTCTTCTGCACCATCGCTACCAATCTGTATTAAACCTCAAATTGCTTTATAGAAGAAAGTAAACCAACTACCCAAAGATGAAGAGAAATTACGATGATGCCATTCCTCTCAAAATCCCACCAATTCTTTATCTCATCCCAAAAAGCGAAGCTAAATATATTATACTCCGGCAGGAGTATACTGCTTATTTACTCAGGGTAAAAGTATATCTAGGATTAACTTTAATTCTGGGTATGTGACCTCTTCAACCCCCTTCCTTACTATGACCTTGCTTTGCACCATTAAAATCTTTTATTGTCAAGTTGCATTTCCTGTTTTGAGTTTCATCTTTCTCTTCAACCAAATTTATTTTCACAGTTGTACTCCCTAACAATTTATTATGTATTTACGTGGATCATCACGACTACAGCCCTTTTGAAATTTTGAGTACTCCACTTTTGCTCAGTAAATTTACAACCTCTTATGTTTAAAAAAAAGAGTGAAATAAAGGTATTCTTCAATCCCTGTACATGCATCACATTTTCAAAAGTTTGAACCTTCCATCGTAACATTCTTACGCGAATCGAGCCTATAACAATTGTGTTATTAATTAAGTTGTTTCCCATTAATTCTAATGTATCCTCATATGGTTTATATGCATCAAACCATGATCTATTTGGTCATATATAATTTGAGCCTCTTATAATAAAAAAACATGAGATTTCATCCCACCATCAATACCTCATCTTTGATATAACCGGATGTTCATTCTTTAACCCGGTGAGCTTTATTCTTGAACTTGAACCCTTTGAGGAATTTACCTTTTTTTTCCCCAATAATATTTCTTTATGTGGCTCGGTTTGCCACAAACAAAAAATCACCTTAGTCTTTAGATCTTGACTTTGATCAAAGATGAGCCGTATCCCCTTGAGGGACTTCTGAATGAACCAGCCTGTATATTTGATGGGCCTCTCATTAAAGACATTCCTTTCTTGAATCATCAAACTACCCCTCCATACCTTATTTCGAAGTTAACTAGCAAAGAAAGCAATGCAAAATGAATCTAATTTGAGGGATTCCTCATTGTTAACCCAATTATCATAAGGCTTGGTAATGATCAAAGCCATGTCACCGCCTTATCTTCCTCATCTATCTTCACCCCAATATTATCGAGTTCACAAATTTATATTGTTTAATCCATTTAAGCACTCTAATATTTTTATATTATCTCTCATCCTCAAATAATACAATTTTTTTTTTAAAAAAAAAATTGTGTTTGTGAGGATTTGGTTTGGTACAAGCTTCCTAACATTGCTCATAAATCCTTTGTTATCGTTTCGCCCACTATATTAAGTAGTATTTTATCTTATAAACACAAGATAGTATTGGTGAGCCTCTTCCTATGAAATTATTCCCCAATCATCATCCTTTTTATCATTCACTTTCTTTGATTTTCTTTCCAGTACTTTGTATTGACCTTGTTGCAATTTTTATTTTTCAAAGTTCAAAATTTGTCTTCCCGTCAAACTTCTCTACTTCAAATTGGTAACTAGTTATTTTTTTCAAATTATTACCCTTGAGCTTTGATACTACTTCCTGGATGTTGAGACTTTCTCGATTACCTCTTTTTGTGTGAATCCCTCATTACACCAAATCTCTATTACCTTGAACCCAACTCGCTTATCACTGATAAATCGATTTTAATAATTGAAAATACCCAAGAACGATATTTGTTGCAATAAATTTTTGGGAAAAACATTATGAAACCAAGAGAAGAAAAATAGGATAACTAAAAACCACAACAAACTACAAATCATAATCTAAACACTATCAACATATAAATGTATGTGGTTGGAGCCTAATCAGGCTACATCTATGGGCAACCTAAAAGGAAATGATTTTATCATCATAGAGTAATTATAAGATTGGGTAAATACAATAGTTACCTCACAATTGGTAAAGCACCACACGTTCTTCTTTTCACTACCACAAAAGAACCATAAAACTAACCTTAACTTCATCACTACCTACAATAGAAAACCACAATGAAACCGCTCAAAATAGGGCACAAAACTCCCAATCTCAACCTCAACAAGATCTCTCCTTCACACGTACTTACTCTCGCTCTCTCCAAAATATAGCTTATAATGCCCCATCTTAAAGTGCTTTTCACATTGACTAAAAAATACCTTTAACAATGAGAAAAAACTATTGGTGGTGATTTTGGAACACCGATCCAACAAAATGTAATATGATCCAATATACACTATTTTATTGCTCCTAGTCCATAAATCTTGAGGTTGAGATGATCAATTTAAGGGCTTTTTAGCACTAGAATAATCTTTTTCAGTATTTTATTGAGATATGCCTCACTTTTATAGTATAAGGTGGTCGCCTTTTATGGATTTCCTTTGTATTTTTTTATCAATCGCTCCAAGTTTTTCTAGATGTTGAGAGCTAAAATGAGTCTTTTTCCTATCTCCACTTGTGGCATGTACATTGGTCCCATGGCCAAAGTATGTGGGGGAATTTTCATGAGCTTGATTCATTTTGTGATCTACAAAAAATGAGCTGGGCACACAATTCCCCAGATTTGACATCAAATTAACAGTCCAAACTCAGCGTTAGAAGGTGCTTTAATTTGAGGCATTTATTCGAGATCTTTAGAGACCAAGAAATACCCCAAATTTGGTGTTTGATTTATGGGACCAGATTTCCAATTTGGTCCCCTGGGAGCACGTAAATTTATCCTTTAAATTTAAGTGTGTTGAGTTAAATTATGGCCTAGAAAATCCATAGGGGGCAATTTTTATATACATTTTAATAGACCAAGGGCACTCTTGGAATACATATTGTCATTGAGGCTACTTTCCTATACTTCCCAAATTGTCATGGATGAGGGACCGCAGCCGTTGGTGTTTTATTAAAAAACTGTGTAGTCCTTTCAAGTTGGCGGACTTGGACATGATGGGTTTTACCGGATTTTAAACGCGTCTCAAAGCCACCATGAAGGGTCTCATTTCATAAAAAATGGATCAAAATATCACAAATAAAAATCTAGATGAATATAGAATTTAATTTTTTATAATATAAAAATATAGAATATAATAGGTCAGGTTGTGTTTTGGGTCTATGACCCTGACCTGAATGGCTGCGTCCAAAACTCGACTCATACACGGTTCTAGATTATTATTATTTTTTAATGGTTGTTTATGTAAGGTGTTTTTTTATTCTTTAATTTTATATTTCTTGATTTTAGATTCGGTATTATTTAGATTATGATATTATTGAGAAAATAACATACATATATGTTATATTTACCGTTGTTACATGATTACCTCAAAGCTTCTCTTAGTATACTTATATCTATTTTTTTACCATCCTAACCATTGTTTTTAAAAAAAGATAAAAAAATACCCATTTTTTGTTTTTCAAAAAATTAAATAAAATGGGGTTGAATTCGATTTTTCAAACTGAAATGTTCAAAATTTTCACATGAGATAGAAAGAGAGGCAATAGGGGGAGAGAAAGAGTTGGGTGTGAGAGAGAGTTTGTCAATTTTGCTTCATGGAGAAATAAGAGTTGCTCAATCTTATCTGAGTAATTGATGTTGGGTTTATGTGGCCTTTAAATGCTTTATGAGTGCTGGTAAAATGAAATGATATAGTAAAACATGAATTCAGTGGGAGTGTGATCCCTCGTGGACTATACCATGCAAACGATGTTTACAGATACCGAACTGTATTTGACGATCTAGGCCAGTCAATTGAAAAAAAATCATGTTACCTGGGCATGAAGAACAAACCAATGAGGGTTCATAGGTTAGCCCTTGATGAGGTCGGGGACCATGCCCGGATGAGTGAGGTGAGGGACTGTGTGACCTAAAGAGACGGGGGCCAAAACCTCATCCATGTGCCATCATGCGTCATGCATATCGATAGATCATTCGGGAAAGCCAGAAATCCACATTTTAGGGTGAAGCGTATGCATGTGCGAGAGATCTCCCTATGCGTCATAGAGCTATGGTCGCATCAGGTCTTGGTAACCTAAACCTGGACTCGTCTCTAGGGGAGGACCTATAATCCACAGATTGAGATTGCGACCCATTGGCTCATTGGCCAGACTTTGGTGACGCACTAATGAGCCCCTGGTTGGACTGTAGGTCATGGAAAACACTAGGTCGATCTGATAAAACAAGTGTGGTCTGTAGTCCATAGTTGAAAGTAGAGTGCCCCATGATTGTTGATTCAATTCCTAAATTATATAGATCAATTTTCCATCAAATTAATTTAATTGTGTTTGTTTTATAATAATGACTATTTTAGAATTACTATTTGAATTTTTATGAACCTTTGAATATTTTATTTATAATTTTTTAATTTATAAATTAAAGATATTGATTTTACAATGTTTTAATATTAACTATAAATTATTTTGTTAATTTTAAGTGCATAAAAAATAATCATGGTGGCCCATTGTGCACATAAGCCCACATGTGCCTTTCATGGGTGGCACACCCCACTTCTTACTTTCCATTTTATGGAAAGTTTTATTTTGTGGTCCATGTGACCTTACGTTTTGGTAACTTAAATTGTGACATGTCGTCAAATTATAGATTGAGTATGTATTGACCATATATTGACATAATGTGAAAGTAGCTATTGACTTGATATATCTTTGATAGATTTTACGGAAACTATCAAAGTTTCCATAAAACAGCATATCACTATGTGTAGAGATATGTTATTTTATAGATTACACAATATTTAATTAAAATTAATTAATTATTTTCTATTGATGGGAAAATAGTTTATGAAAGGGGGATAAGAGTTCATGCACCTTCTATAATGTTGATGGCCCATCTATGGAATGGATGCTCAGATCTCTCACCCCATAAGTCATCCTTGATTGACGATCTATGTTCAATCTCATAAGAAGAAGCAAGCCAAGGAAAACCCTAAGAAACTCTAATCTTGTTCAAGCCTATAAAAAAGAGATGATCTTTACCCAAAATCTCTACACCTTATATTTC